AATAATGCTACCTTTAATTTTTATAAGAGATTAATTCACTCTAAAATTTTAAACTAATTTAGCTAAATGTGATGTACCGAACATAAAATTTGTTATGCACTTGTAAGATGGAGACAACACATGCAAATGTGGCGTCCTCTTAAGATAAATTATAAACTTATTGAGTCTAGAATAGTATGCAAAATTAATAAAACTGTTTAACACAGGATAAATTAAAATTATTAATTACTTGTTAGTTATTAAAAAAATATTACACTAAAACACTTCTATTACTATRAAAAATTGTATGCATGTGTCAAAACTTATGATAACTCATACTCCTTTTATGTTAATAAGRAACCTTGATGGCGATTAGTTTTCGATGACTGGCAGTCAGATAACATCAGTTTGCACTCTGTCCCGACTGTCATGTAGATATATATAAGTCAGCCACCGAAGTATCTTTTAACATAAATGGAGTATCATAGCAAATAAAGCAAACATTTTCCCAGGATATGTCAGAYACATTGGTTATTAATGTCATAATTTATTTAATACATTTTAGTAAAACTCACAATACAAGTAACTTTTTGATGTTTGAAGGAAAGTGAATTCTTAAATTCTTAAGAATCTGATCAAGTGAATCAAYACAAAGATTTAATAAGCGAAATAAAAAATTCTAATTGAAATGGATTTAAAATTAAAATAGGTAATAATAATTTATAATTAATCAACAATATTATATGTATTATATAAATTTATTATTTAATAACTTTATTCCATGTTTAAATTTAAAGGACGTTAAACTGGTATTTGTTATCTGTCTCAAAATTTGTAATATAGTAAATTTTCGCTCAGCAGATCATATATAGCATCATTAATTAAAAAATTAGAGTGAATCGACCTATTATGAAATATGATGGTAAGAACATTATCTAGGTTTGTATRTAGGTTTTTACAATAATTCAGTTTATAAATGAGGTATGAGTATTTTTAATTTATGCTATATTAAGAACACAAAACTTGCTAAAAAATTGATCATYGTAAGAAACCTCCATACAAACACAAATAAAGCACTTACCAATATGGTTTATAATAAATAAATTCTAATTATCAAACTTAMGAGGCTACACATGATATGTTGATCATAAATTTATGTTACACACTGGTAAAACAGAGATAACAAATGCCAGTGTTACGACTGTTACATCTTCTTAAGATAGTTTAAATATAATATTTTTTTAAAATGTAGTTTTTTTTTAAATATTATCTTAAAGGTTTTAAATCTCACATAGGTCAACAATGTGTTAAAAATAACATGTATTTGTATTATAATAAAAAGTAATAACAACAATAAGCTTTTGTTATATACCTGGGTGTAAGTATCTATCACAACTGTTACACTGTGTCATGCGCTCGATGTTTTTGATAGGATAGCAACGCATGCAATTAGGGCAGAAATGGCCTTTTTTCCATGACCTGGCCAGAAACAAACCAGAATATCCCATTATGTTAAAATGTATATAATTTGTATTAAAATATAAAATGTGTTAATGATTTAAATAAATTATTTTCACAAGAAAATTGATGAAATGTATGTACACGTAATAAATAATAATAAACAAAATAATWCAAAATAACTGTCAATGTGTTAATATACCTGGAACATGGTGCACACAATGTACGACAATAGACTTTAGAACCAGTTTTTTCAGTTTTCTTAAACTGAAAYAAATATATAAAATTTAAATAATAAAAAAATAAAAAAATAAATGTGAGTTTTTACACAATTCCAAATAAAAATATAAAAGATAACTTATCTTAGATAAGGTTTAACAAAATATTATTCAACTATTACCTCGTAAAACCATTTAGAATCACCTGGACCTGGATCAGAAACTCCACACGAACTACACATAGCACATTCTTGACAATGCCAACGACCTTCAGGCACTCTACGTAGTCCTACACAATAAATGTGATATCTAGACAAAAAATAAAATTCAAAGTAGCCATAACTTCAATCATCTGACTCAAAATATATTTTTAATTACCCTCTATCACAAAGGTCGCAGAACAACATTTTATCTTCATCAGCCACTTCTTTACACTGAGCACAAGATTTACATTCATTACATTGCCAATTGTAGCGTTTTATGTAGGGAATCATCTCCAATGTCATATCCAAACATGTTGGATGATCTAAAATTGATAATGTAATAAATACATTTTTAAAACATAAATTTAAAAGAATATTTAATATTTTTATTAAATAAATTGTTCTTACAAATTGTTAAACATTTAGAACAATGAATTAATGGTTCGACCGATCCAATTTTGTTCTTATCTGCAGTACCGAAACATGATTTGCATTCAGCTCCTTTTTTATCACTTGGACCATCCAAACAATTTTTGTCTGATTTGTTGTCAACATCAATTGAATCATCACTATCACTATTAATTAATATTAAACATGAACACTTCATGGCAAAAATGGTTAGTTTGTAAAATACCCTTTCTGATTAAATCTTTGCCAATGAAATTAGCCCTACACCATAGTATACTTAAACCTTGTTTATTTACAAAATATTCATCATGCAATTTGATAGTTTTAGTTATGTTAATTAAGACATACAAATTTAATGATTTAGTTTACCTAGAGTCGTCAGAAGAACTATCTTCAGATTCAGATTGGCTGCTTAAAGAAACAGGAAAGTCTTTATCTACAGATTTCAAAGGACCATACATAACAGTATTCATTGGCAAGTAACGTAGATCTTCACTAGAGTAACTAAAAATTACAAAGTAACTTGAGAAGTTCAAAACAAATTTTAGTTTAGTTACTTTAACTCTTACGTTGCGTAGTAATCACAGAATTGTCCGGGTAGTAGAGCCAATGGATAACTGCCAATTTTAGGTTTAGGCACAGCCATTTTCTTACATTTGTTTTTTGGATAGTGCACAATGAATGTTTGCATATCCATTGAACACTTACGAGACTCTAGACGAGACTTATTTAAATTGGCATTCCAATTGGCTACAGCTTCCATAGCTCTATCACGTAAATCTAACTTTGAACCATCATTGTTTGAACTAATTGTCATCAATGCTTTAGCCATAAAAATAAAATTTATTTTTGATTATGTTTAGTTATTAACTAWCAAAACTTCTTTTATACAATACCTCTTTGTCGATTAGTTAATTCTTTGGCATGTTTAAGTCTCATATATTCTCTCAGTTCTTCGTATTTTTCTGGAAAATCTGTATACATGATATCTAATACTTCAGAACTATACAGAACTGTTAAACCTGTTTAACACATTAAAATTAATATATGAAAATATTATTTTGTTTTATAAATATACCAAGATCACATAATGATTCAGCAACTAATCCACTGTCACACAAGAATGTACGTTCTTCAGCTTCGACATTACGACGTTTCAATCCAGGGTATTTTCTTTTGAATGATTTAACACCCAAGAAATTTGATATCTGCTCTTGAATCATATACAACTCACCACCATCCAATGGCCATTGGTATTCAGCAATTTGATCAACAGTTAATGTTTTATTACTATTATAAATWATAAATAAATGSCTACATTAAAATACTATCAGCAATTTTTAAAAGAATAAAATGTATTGTAAAATATAATTAAATTTACCTTTCAAGATCAATGACTTCCATTCTTCCTTTTTTCATTCTAATGCTATCGTTAGTAGCACCACTAATAGATAAATCTTCTTCACCTAAAAATATATATTACCAACATAWTATAATATATTAATATCCTTTGTTTTAATTATTTTTAATGTTATAACATACCTAAAAGGAAATTCCTAGCAGTTGTTTGGGATAGACTATTATTACAATCAGCACTCATACGAGTTTCATCATCAAAGTTTTGAGGTGGTGGAAGAGATTTCTTCATCTCAGCTGCTCGAGCCTTTTCCTCTTGCATAAGTCTTTTCTTCTCATGCCACTGCAGTCTTCTTTCTTCTGCTCTTTGCTTCTTTTTCAATTTCTTTTCTTTTAAAATATCATTACGGAGTTTTATTTTTTTTTTCCTTGCCTCCAACTTTCTTTCCCGTTCTTCTTCTTTACGAAGTCGCTCAGCTTCTATCATAGCTACATGTTTGGTTTCTTCTTCATGATTCATTTCTTCATGAAAAGTTTCTCCTTCATCATCTACACGTCTACTAAGTGATGCTGTATCACTATCTGATCCATCGCGTCCACGGCCACCACGTCCTCCTCGTCCTCTTCGCCCTCGACTACCTTTCCCTCTGATACTCTTTCCTCGCTTTGGTGTTGATGCTTCAAATGAATCAAACATTCCTGCCCCTCCACTCATGTCTTCCATATCAAACAATGGAACATGAAAGACAGGTTCATTTTCAGTACAGCCTTCTTGAACTTTTGACTGTTGTTGTTGTTGATATTCTAACAATAATTGCTTTTGTTGAGCCAAAGCTTTTGGTGGTCTACCTCTTTTTTTGGGAGTATTCAAAATCTGTTGTTCTAAGAGAGCAATTTGTTCAGCACTGAGTTTAGGTGCAGGGCGAATAGTAGCAAATTCATTAAAAGATTTAGAAGGTTGAGAAAGAGCATTTTTTAAAGGACTATCCCCCATAGCAATATGTTTATTTGTAATTTTTTTAATCAATTCAGATTTAACATCTGGGCGAACTGTAGTTTCAGATTTAATTTCTGGATTTCCAACTTTGGGCAACTTTAATGTTATTTTACCAAGTTTGGGTGATTCTTGAGGCTTGCAAATAGGAGTAATGGTAACATTAGAATCATTTAAGAATTTTTCTACTTCATTCATTTTAGCTGATCCCCATTTAGGAGGCTCGTCATGTTTACCAACTGTTGTATTTTCATTAATAGAAATAGAGCTACATGCTTCTTTAGACATTTCTGGTATATTACTAACAATTTTATTTTGAGATTTTTTAATTTTACTTGATTGATCTTTAATAGCAAGTTTAATTTCGGCTTCAATTTTATTAACAATAGAGTCTTGCCCTATTTGTGGTAAATTTTCATTTTGTTTAGTTTCTAACACTATTGGATTTTCATTTGAAGAAGGTTGATCATACACTTCCGATGAATTTCCAAGCATTTCAGGTGATTTTTTTGACATAAGAGCTGCTTTTAAAATATCAGACTTAAACATTTGAGAATTTTTTTCTTCATTATCTGGTACTTCCTTTGATAAAATATTTGTTGTAAGGTTGTTTTCATTTTCAACATGTACATCTTTTTTAGAATTTAGATTTGTATTTTCTAAATAAGAAACAGTATCATCTTTCCGAGTATCATTTAATTGTGAATCAAATAATTCATCTTTAATTTTACCAATATTTCCATATTCAATATCAATTTCATTAATGCTTTTATTGTACTTGTCAGTACATGCATAACTGGATTCAACAATAGATTTGTCATCTTTAGGTTCCACAATTATTGGATTAGGGTTTTTATCTTGTGTTTTAAAGTTGCATTGTTTGTCAACTACTAATCTTTCTAAAATAACTCTATAATGGTCATTGGCACTTTCTTTCACAACATTATAATCTATTTCTTTTTCATAAGCACCTTTGCTAAGAGAATTTTTTTCAATCGACTTTTCTTTAATTATACATTTTTGTTCTTCAGTTATTAAATTAACATTTATTTTGTCAAAAGATTTTTTTTCAGGTAATAAACTAGCCATCTCTTTTACATCAGTATTTTCATGTATRACAGTGGCAGTTTGGGTAGATTTTATTTTATCAACATCAAGCAAATTATCTACTTCAGCACTTTTTACAACACTCTTTGGTACACTAATTTTATTTTCAACTAATTTAATACATTTTAATGCAGTAGGTATTTCTTCTTCAACTCTATTAATATTTGAACTYACGGTAGAATTATTTGTTATTTCTTTGGCATAAATGTTGACTTGTTCTACCTGATTTAATCTTAWGTCCTCAGTAATATTTTCTATTACATGATCAACCTTTTCTTCAGAACTAGATTCTGTAGGTTTTTCCAAAGTTATGTTAACATTTTCTTCACTAACAGATTTCACTGGGTCTAACCTTGATGTTTCATTTACTTTATCAAATATTTTTGAATCGGTAGGTTCAACTTTAACTTCAACAGTTGATGTAACAAAAGTTGGTCGTTTCAATCGAGGTCGCTTTGGTTGACTATCATTTTCTGAGGATGATCCATCATCATCAATCTTGAAAATATTTTTTTTTAAATGTTCCAATTCTTTTTTTGTTTCTTCACTAAATATATTTTTTATATCTAAAGCATCTGAACTACTGCTGTCCACTTGTTCGTCAGGAACTTGAAGGTTAGGCTTTTTAACAGTTTCTGAAGGACCAACMAATGACTTAATTGTTTCTAGTCGATCAATTGGTTCTTCCGAAGGTAGTGAAACATCAGAGATAGTAGAAACTTTTAAACCAGAATCTTTATTTGATTTAGATAGTTCTGTTGGTTTTACATAAGTGTTAAGTATTTCTGATTGTAGAACAGTGGTTTTAGGTATTTCTGTCGGTGATGCAGTAGATTTAAGTATTTCTGTTGGTGGTACTACAGATTTCGGTATTTCTATTGGGTGAACATTAGATTTAGGTGTATCTGTAGGTAGAACATCAGATTTACTGACTTCTGAAGTTGTGGAGGTTAAAGGTTTGGCAACAGGTGAAAATACAGGTCGAACGAGTTTGATTCGTTTAGGATTAGGTTTAGGGTTTAGATTGTCATCCTCAACTTTACGCTTATCAGAGACATCAGTAACAATTTTTTCTTCTTCCATATTGCTTAAAACTTAATAGCGATTTGTAATACTCTAAAATTAAAACAATAAATTAACAAGTTAGATAAAAAATAAAACGTACCTAGTCCTAATAATATTAATTACAATATAGATACATTTATTACCTACCTAAAATCATCAACAGCACAAGCGAAGTTGGAACATCAGTCTATCCTAAAAGATATATTTAAATTCAACACAAAACAGAATTAATTAATTTCGATAATAACACATGAGAACATTAAAACAGACAGGTTAAAAACACCAAACACGATAATTGCTATATCACTTTTCAGTAGTTGGTTGGATGACTGAGTCGACTGACATTCGAAATTTCACCCAGGTCCAAGCTGAAGTAWAGGTAGTCGATAAGTTTAGACTTGTTAATCGGCAGTATTCGTCAAACGCAACTGCACAATATTACCATACTCCACATCCATACTCCAGAGTCGGGACTCCATACTTCCATAGTTGATACTTGATATTTCAACAAATTTCAAGAATGGAGAAATTATGTTTACATCTTTCCGGTGGCTCCTTTTATTGTTTCTTAAATGTTGAAAAATAATGTACATATGGTCAAACTGTTAACRTGGTCTCATTCCTTATCAAACATTAATCACTTTTTTTCTTAAATGAAATGTGATTTATACCTACCCAGAATATAATGAAAACATTTTTCTAGATGTTTTGTTGTCGTTTATTTCGTATGTGGTAATTATAAATTAACAATCCACAGTCCACACCATTTTAGTTTTTCAGTTAACCAAGAACCAGTAAAAAATTAACTCAATATGGTCGAGGTGAGAAACATGTTTTTATTAACTTTACTTCCTTATAAATCATTTTGCTACAGGTACAGTTATAAGGCTTAAATGTATATTTTGAACATCAATACGATTTTAATTGTTTCAGGTGCTTCAACCATAGCTATTACTATTTAATTTATACCCTGTTATTAAAAATATATCATTATATTATTCTGAACTTAAATATTAAGTTACTTATTTTAATAAAATTTTACTATTTGGCGTTATTTTTAGTTGCATGGTGTTATTGACAAAGTTCCACAGGTATATCAGGTTACACCTATCTATCAAAAGATCATGCAAATTTTTCACTTCCCCATTTGATTCCCTGTCATTGACTACACTTCCACTAAAACGGGGTGTCGCATGTAGATGTGTAGAAAATTTGATTTACGTCTGGTTCTCTTGTTCAGAGTCGGACTGGCCCGGACCGCTAGTCCGCAATTGCAAACGGGGCCCCAGCTTAGTTATGGTAATTGGGGGCCCCTAATTTTGTACCTATTAATATTATTATTATTAATTTAGAGTAAATAAATACAAATACGGCCGCCCGCAGGGTTATAAATAGCTTGTAAAGTCAATAACTAAAAATTTTAATGACACATTTTMAAAAAATGATCTATCTTTTGATTATGAATCCAATTCTGAACCAGAACTAAATATTGACCACAGTTTGGAATGCAATACATGTAACAATTGTTTAAGATGTGCTTTTAATATTTTGTATGAAATTGTTCAACAATCAGGATCTTTTAATTATATATACTTGGCATATAAATTTGTTTTGACGTTACCATGTACACAAGTTACATRTGAACGAACATTTTCCAAACTTAAAAACATTAAAACTAAATTAAGATCATTAATTTCACAAGATATTATGGAAGCTCTGTTAATGATAAATATTGAAAGAGACTATGTTGTTGATAAGGAAATTGTTGTAAATACTATTGCTAAAAGTTCATCAGAACTATCAAGGTTATTGATTTGAGATGTTATTCA